CCAAATCCTCAAAGCCTGTCTCCCATCCACAGGACACAAGTCAGGGGTATGATGGAATGCTTTCCTCTTGCTTAGATGGTTGCAGCTCCATCAACACTCGAAAAACTCGATGCCACCAAAGACAAAGCAGCCTGTTTGATTGAATTTCTATTCACTCTCTTAAACAATCACTAGTGCCTCACAGTGGCAGCAGTGTGCACCATCTGCAAGGTGCAATGCAGGAACTTGACAAGCCTCCTTCAACATCACGTTCCAAATCCAGGACCACTACCATCCAGAAGAACAAGGGCATGCCTGAGAATACTGCCAGCCACAAGTTCCTCTGAGGTGAAACCATAATCACTGATCCTGCAAAGTCGTTGAGACAAAATGCAGAAATTCCCTTCCTTATAACACTATGGGTGTGCTTTCGCTAGATGGAGTGTATCAATTTAAGAAGGTGGTGGTGATCCACCTTCACCATGGGCAAACAAGGACGGATAACAAATACTGGCATTGCCATGTATCCCATGAAAGAACTTTTAAAAATTGATGGTGGAGTCTCACAAACTTCAAATTAAAAAATGCCAATCTCTCTTCAAGTTTATACTTCCATGGATTTCCTTTTAACAAAAGATAGAAAGGTGTGCTTTTAATGTTTACTTTGACATTTATACAGAAAAAGTAGTCACTTGATCTTTTTCAACTCTGTAACAGTAATTGATCTGGCTGTAAACCTCTAAACCTAAATGGAAAGCCACGAGACTGATGAAGTATTTTCAAATTAAACTTACTACAGAACTTTTTTTGCACATTTTCAGCAACCTCCTGGCCCTCAGGACTCTGCTGCCAAGAGAATGGGCAATCTATCTTCTGCAGGACCACAATTAATAATGCCCAGCTCATCTGTGAGAAATGACTTACATCTCCTATTTATCTCTCCCCTTACATAATGACATCCACAACTACTCATCAACTCAAGAAATTAAGTAAGTGAAGCAAGCTACAAATAAGATTGCTGATCATCAAAACAAGAGGTTTAAACTGGTTGCAGGGTACTTACTGTGCTGTGCTTCATACTGAGCTCCATGGTGCTGTAGTTGTTGGCTACGTCTATAACAAACCTCCCCTGCTTTTAGTGCCTGTTTAAAAAGTCTTTCTGCTTCCACAATAGTAGTGGCTTCTTCTTCAGCCAAAAGAATGTACGCAGTGGCACATCTACAAAAAGATTAGATTAGACTCTAATTAGACATGGCCTTACTAGATGCTACAGCATCGATAAAGCTTTAAAGCAACATCCATAAATAGTTTTTCTTCCCTTAAGCAAAATGCAAACATCCTGGGCATTGATTAAAAATTGTACGCTCATTTCTCTGCATCAGGAGAGTGTGTTCCACTTCCCATGTGAACTAACACTTCTGCAGAGAAGCCAATGAAAGTCCAGTGGTAGGCTTTCTAAAACACTACATTCATCCCTGTAGAAAGTTGATGATATTATTTATTGAGGGATATAAATAAGAAACAGGAATTTATGCAAATTGGTGCCATTATAGCAACACCAATGCCTTTAAAAAAAAAAATTGGAAGCCCTGGGGAAATTCAGCATGTCTGGCAGCATCTGTGAAGAAATAAACAGACTTAATGTTATTAGCTCGATTTGACTCTTCTTTAAGAAGAGGACTGTTTTATTCCTGTTTTTATTTCAGCACCTGCAGCACTTTGCTTTTACTTGAATGCATCTATCTTTAAATTAATTTTTTTAACTATGTACAGCCAAAATCTGTCAGTTTCCATTCCAAGTCTGTGCTGAGTTAGCTGCTAATAAAATGCAGTTGTTGGTAATGCTTGAAATAGCCTCAGTTCCCACTGAATGGAGAAGGCAAAGAAGCACAATTCCCATTCCCAACAATTATCCAGTCCAGTTGCTGGAAAATACCAAAAGTCCATGTCATAGATCATAGAATCCCTGCAGTGTGGAAACAGGCCCTTCAGCCCAACAAGTCCACACCGACCCTCAGAGCATCCCACCCAAACCTATCCCCCCATATCTACACATCCCTGAACATTACAGGCAATTTAGCACAGCCAATCCACCTAGCCTGCACATCTTTGGACTGTGGGAGGAAACCAGAGCACCTGGAGGAAACCCATGCAGACATGAGGAGAACGTGCAAACTCTACACAGACAGTTGCCTAAGGGTGGGATTGAACTTGGGTCTGTGGCACTGTGAGGCAGCAGTGCTAACCACTGAGCCACTTCCAGGGACTCATATGTCTGAATTTTCCCTTGCTATTGCATAGCTTGCTGACACTGTCTACACACCCACAGAACAAAACGGTCACTTGAGCAAAGTACTGAGAGCTGTATCGCATTCACAAGACCTTAAGCCAATTAAATATCATGAGCTTCATGAAGAAAGGAAAACACAAGATACCCATGGCATTCAATTAGCTTGTCATTTTAGACCTGAGGTTTTGCTTCAAGCAGGCCTATGAAAGCTTGTCCCTAGTGTACATTGGTTGGAATCTTGAAATAAAACAATTCAAATTGGTTGGATTTGGATGCATTATATATAAAACTGTCGATCACAATAACAAAAAGGTTCTGGAATCCAGATTGATTTTTGAATAAATCGATTATCCTTATCATGGCTTGTAACTACATGCTGAATAAGGTATTCTATGACATTCATTAGTGTGTGTGTTTTTTGTTTAAATTATAGTTAATACAAAATCACAACATGCAAGATAGTAAACCAATTTTTCAGTGTTCACCCTGTCAGGGCCCTTCTTGTATGGATTAACAAGGTCACCTTTTAGTTTTTTAAACTCCAAAAATAATAAGCCCAATTTACTCAGTCTTTCATCACCGGAAACAAGCTAGTGAACCTCTAATGTATTGCCTCCAATGCAATCCTTCCTTAAAAAATGGAGACCAAAAAAATTTTGATATGGACTCAAGATGCACATATTATTATGTAAAGGTTAATCTAGGCTTTAGTTCGAATATACTGCAATTTCAAGAGTTTAACAGTTTCTGCTTAGGCAAAACAGCATCACAGCACAAATGAAAAGTACATTCCATACAGGAAAAAAAGAGTTAATAGCAATTTTTAGTATAGTTGGGAGTACAGTGATTCAATTAAGCCTCTCTGAACAGTGGCTAAATCCCTCAAGAATTACTTTTTAAAATATAATTATTTGTTTCTAGAACAGTAGCAATGTTGGAAAACTGCACTCATAATGAAATCCTGGTCATCTGAATACTCCGTGCAGATCACATCAGAAAGCATCACATTTTAGGACTATCTACACCGGACAGAAATTTCAGGTTCCCTCTCTGAAGGGCATGGCTGAATTTTCATCACTTTTGATGATTGGTTTCCTAGTTTGTTAATTCACGTGCTCTGCCCAAAGGCAGGTGTTTGGCTCATTTTCTACTTTTGTCTCATCCTGAGGTCATTCCTTGGTGGCCCTTTGACCAAGATGGTTTGCCAGTGTGTTCCACTCTCAGAAACAGGATGGGGCGGCAAGTTCCAAGTCTACCTGAGCCAAATTGGAGATCAAATCCTTACTGCTGGAATTAACGTGAACTAGCCATCTACGCGAACCAGCATCCCCAATATCACCAAACTTTACAGCGTGCACATCATAACCTCCTATGGTGGAATCTGAACTCATGATTTCTGAGCTGTTAACTTAGTACCATAACCACTAGATTACAGTAACTTCAATAAATTCTCTAACTTGATTTGAGAATATTTGTAATTCTTATAAAATGAATGCCAAGTGCAGCAGAGACATCACGGGTTAGATAAGAGGATAATCAGGATGGCAGTGAAGAAAATATTTGTATATTATTTTATATAAAATTAGAAACAGAGATACAAGGTATATGGCATCATGAAGCTAAATTTTCTCTTTCAAAAAACAAAGGCAAAAAATATTCAGATCCAGGACAATTGTTAAGAGTTACTGTTTAAGTATCAGAGTACAATGACAGTTCACCCTGTTTACAAAAGTTCCAAAACATTACAAAGGAGTAAGTGCAACTGAAGCTGAAAAATATTATAGCTAAGTTTTCTAAAAGCTTGGTAAGTGGTGGTTTTGCTTGGAAATGTGATAAATATGAAGTCAAATACTCTGCTGGGTCTCTAATTAACTCAGGGCAAGATTTTCCTTTTGCTTTGACTCCAACTCTGATCTGAAAATCTCGGTTTAACTGTCCAAGTTCACACTTGAAGAATGCTAAGTGGTCATTTAAATGGGAAAGAATTATCTACCATGACAGCTACCAGCGGAATGTTTGATCCTCGAATAAAACAGAATCACAGAATTGTTACAGTGCAGGAAAAGGCCTTTCGGCCCATTACATCTACACTGACATTACAGGATATTGGCAATATTGAGAGTTTCCACTTTGAAATATGAAGTGGAATAATATTCAACAGTACAGCTCTGCCATCTGCATTGGTCAATGAATGTTTTAATGATTATTCAAGTGAAATAGTTACTCAAACAAGTTATAGAGAGATTAATTTCTGTTTCACCTACGCACAGGGACACATTGTCATGCCGAACAAGGTGTTGCTTCCTGTTCATTTTTAATGGACACATGTTGATGAGAAGCTGAGAAACCAAATACTGAAATGTTTCTGTTACTGCAATGATGTCAGAAGGTTTCTGCAGAACAGGACCAGAGTGAGTGAATTAAACCAGAGTGCCAGATTGTATAAGTCTTAGACTGGCTGATGTGATGCCAAAATAAATAAAGTGAGTTAGGGAATAATGGACACCGAGGAGTGATTAAGGAGCAGTTATTTCTTTGAGTAGCTCAAATAATGTAGCAAATCACAAGAGCAGAGCCCTCAAGCAGTTTATAGCCACCATCCTACTTTTGAACTAAGATCACAGCCTTGAAATCACTCCCAGGTGATTTTTTAAGAACATACATTGTGAAGTTTATTCCATTTTGGGTCCTTCTCTTTGCTTGCAGCGGCTGTAGCAGTGGACGCCAATGGTAAAATACCCTGGATGAAAAGTGGACAGGGGTCTGATCAGAACAGACACAGTGGAAACATAAAACTGTGCAGAAGTTGATCATCAGCATAAAACAATTGCTCACCCTTACGTACTTGTAAAATACATTGCTTAGAAAAAAATATGTGTATAGAAATATGAGGTAGAAAGGACATGTTAGGAGTACACATCAAATCACCAGAACTGATTGAGTGAAAAGGGAATTGAGCCCAGATACAAAAAAAGTCACTCACTCATTTAATTCTAAGGCTTCATGCGCTGCTGAAATTCTTGCTTGTGGGTTCCTCTCTCTCCAAGCTTTCTGCATTACTGTTCAAACAGAACAAGAGCATTTTTTTAAACAAGATTACTTCCTAGATGGAACTCATCGCTGGGATTTGAAAACTTTCCTACTTTTCTCTGGCATTAATCGATAAAAATGTTTCTGTTGAACTTCATCAAAGATGGCACTGACCTATATAAACTCAAAATGACTTTGGTAGTTTTTAATTCAGTGGAATACTAAATGATAATATGGAGCACAGCAAATGAAAATCTGAAATGAACATCTCTCACAAACAATAATGTAAATTAACCTCAGGGTTAGCTTTGTTGCCGTGATGACAGCATTTCACTGAATTTACCGATTCCTAGGTAAAACTGCAGCTCTTGCTAAAGAATAAAATAATGTCTGGCAGGTTAGCAATCTGAAAGATGAGCATGGTTGTGTTCAAGAAATTTAATAAATGCAATTCCATCGAAAGAACTGCTTCTATTTTAGGTCATTTAGTTATATAACATCCTCAAAGAACAGGACAAATCCAAGTCAGCCAATCACCACCCTCTCAGCCTTCTCCCCATTAGCAGCAAAGTAGTAGAAGGAGAGATGTCAAGTGTGCTATAAAGGGGCATTTACTCAACAATATCCAATATGCTCAGCTGGAGTTCTGCTTGGAACTATTTATCACCATGCCAATTTTTTTGGCACCTGTGAACTTCTTGATCATGACTTCTATATATTAAGTCCAAGTCTTTAATGTAGACCACAAACAGCAAGTGTCCCAGCACTGAGCCCTGTGGAACCGCAATGGAAGCACAGAAATATCCCTCTACCGTCATCCTTTCCCTCCTGCCTCTCATCCACTTTGCCTTGGAACTTTTACTTGACCAGTCTGCCAAGAGCCACCTTATCAAAAACCTTGCTACAGTCCATATAGACACATCACATGCACCCTCCAGAGGAATGGGTTAAGTGAGTGGGTAAAAGTTGACAGATGGAATATAATGTGAGAAAATGAATAGATGTATATTATTCAAACATGGGAAAAATGCAGGAGACTGCAGCACAAAGGGATTGAAAGGTCCTTACACAAGAATCACAAAAACTAACACCCAAGTTCAGCAGGTAATAGGGAAGGAAAATGGACTTTTTGTCTTTATTTCAAAGGGAATGTCTTATAAAAATTGGGAAGTCTTGCCAAAACTATACAAGACACTTGCCTAACCACAGCTGAAATACCATGAACAGCTTTGTACCCTTTATATAAGGAAGGATATACTAGCATTGGAGACCATCTTGATAATGTTTACAAGGTGGATCCTGGGTATAGAGGGATTTTCTTTTGAGAAGTTGAATAGGTTGGGCTTTTACTCATTAGAGTTTAGAAGAATAATAGGAGGCCTTGTGGAAGCGTACAAGAGTTTTAGAGGTCCTTACAGGGTCAATGTGGAAGGCTTGTTTCCCCTCGTGGGACAATCTAGTAGCAGAGGCTAAAGTCTCAGAGTAAGGGGTTGCTCATTTAAGGCAAAGATGAGGAGTACATTTTTCTTTCAGAAAGTAGTGAATCTATCAATAGCAGAGAGCTGTAAAGGCTGGGTCATTCAGTAAACTGAAGGCTGAGCTAAACAGATTTCTAATCATTAAAGGAATCAAGGGTTATGGGGGTGAGGCAGGAAAATGGAGTTGAGGATTATCAGATCAGCCATGATCTCATTGAATGACAGAGAAGACTCAATGAGCTGAATTACCTACTTCTGCTTCTATGTCTTATGATCTTATGGTCATTACCCTCATTACTCCCGGTTATCTTCTCAAAACATTTGATTAATCCTGTCAAACATGACCATCCCCTTGGAAGATCCCCGATGAAAACACATTCCGGCAAGTACAAACTGACCCGACACTGCAACTAGGCAACAAAATCCTCTACACGCTAAAAAGACTTAAACAGACAGGACAGATCAACAAAGCAGACTTCTCAAGAATGAAAACCGAAGGAACCAACACACCCTGATTCTACGGCCTCCCGAAAGAACACAAGCCGGAAGTACCCCTTAGACCCATAGTCTCCCTACCAGGCATGCCATCTCATAGATTAGCCAAAGAACTACAAAGGAGACTCAGGCACCTAGTCAACAAGTCATCCCACTCAATCCACTCAGCCCAAGAATTCCTCAACTCCATCAAAGGCATAAGGATAGATGACAAGGAGACTATGATATCGTTTGATGTCACTGCCCTATTTACATCAATAGACATACCACTAACGAGGGAAACAATGACAGCACTACTTGAACAAGAGCAAGACCCCAGTGAAACCATCTCCACAGACAACATGCTCAAACTATTGGACCTATGCCTGACCACACACTTCACTTTCAATGGCCAAACATACGAACAAATCAACGGGACACCCATGGGATCACCTATCTCTGGACTCATAGCAGAGGCAGTGATGAAAAGACTAGAAAGGACAGCCCTTCCGCTAATCCAGCCACAATTATGGATACGCTACATAGACGACACCTTTGTCATCATTAAACGGACCAACCTAGAGGAGACACACAAACTTATAAACAACACCCTCACCGGAATAAAATTCACCAGAGAGGAAGAGAAGAACAAACAGCTCCCATTCCTGGACGTCATGGTAGAGCGCAAGACAAATGGGGAACTGCAAATGAAAGTACACAGAAAAGCCACACACACGGACCTGGTACTGAACTTCAACAGTAACCATCCCGGCACACACAAACAAAGCTGCGTGCGAACACTATGTAAACGGGTAACAACACACTGCAACACACAGAACTACGCCAAAAGGAAGAAGAATACCTCTTCCAGGTTTTCAAAGATAGTGGGTATCCAAAAAACTGGATCAGAAGATGCCTACACAAACAACATCAGGAAGATACCACTCGCCCCGACACACTCATCACACTACCCTACATCAGGAACACATCGGAACTAACCACAAGACTCTTACGACCGCTGGGCATCAGAGTGGCACACAAACCCACATAAACCCTATGACAACTGCTCACCTGAACTAAAGACCCACTCCCCGCCATGGACAGGGCCAATGTCATCTATAAGATCCCCTGCAGAGACTGTGAGAAACACTAAATTGGACAAACAGGAAGGAAACTAACAACAAGGGTACACAAACACCAAATGGCTACAAAAAGACACGACCAATACTCACTCATCTCAATCCACATGGACAAGGAAAACCACCAATTCGACTGGGACAACACCAAAATCCTGGGACAAGATAAGCAGAGACAGGCATGGGAATTCCTAGAAGCCTGGCACTCCACAAAGAAAGCAATTAATAAACTCGACCCCATATACACTCCACTAGGAAGGAAAACCGGAAGTGAGGCAATCCAGCTCAACGGACTCCAGAGTTTAAAAACCAGGCGGGAGAATACACCGACGCTTCATCAGAGGCTGCACTGAGGATGTTACCCAGCATGGTAACGAAACGTCTGCGGAACAACAAACCAGCTTGGCGAGCCAACCAACCTCAATAACAATCCCCTGACAAATCCATGTTGACTATCCCTGTTTAAGCCCGGTCTCTCCAAGTGCAGTTACATTCTGTCAATCAGGGTTCTTTCTAATACATTCCCAACCACTGAGGTTAAACTGACTGGCCTGTAATTTGATGGTATGTCCCTTCCTTGTTTTTGCAATGTTAGCAGTCCTCCAGTCCACTAGAACCTAACCTGTTGCCAGAGACAATTTGAAAATGACTGACAGACCCTCATCTCCCTTGCATCCCCAGGCTGGGATACACCTCATAGAGCCATAGATAGACTCAGAATCATACAGCATGGAAACAGGCCCTTTGATCCAACTCGCCCATGCCAACCAAATTTCCTGAACTAAACAGTCCCATTTGCCTGCTGTTGGCCCATGCACCTGTCCAAATGTCTTTTATATATTGCAATTGTACCCACCTCTATTACTTCCTCTGGCAGTTCATTCCATATACATGCCACTCTCTCACCTTAAACTAATGCTTCTCGTTTTCGACTCACCAATCCTAGGGCAAAGACTTTGGCAATTCACCTTATCTATGCCTCTCATGATTTTATAAACCTCTATAATATCACCCCTCAACCTTCTATGCTCCAAGGAAAAAAGTCCCAGTCTATCCAACTGTCTTTATAACCCAAACCCTCCAGTCCCAGTAACATTCTTGTAAAGCTTTTCTCCACCCTTTCCAGTCCAATAACATCTTTCCTATATTAGGGTGATATTAGGGTGACCAGAACTGTACGCAGTATTCCAGAAGTGGCCTCACCAACTGGTTTGAACAATTTTGTAGTTATATTGCTGGACTAATAATCCAAAAGTCTGGAGACATATGCTACCACCAAAAATGCAGTTGATTATTTGCCCCTGAAATGGCTTAGTTAGGCACTCAATTGTATTCAAGACAGCAGTATATCAGCACATTCTCAACAGAAATTAATGATGGGCAACAAATGCTGGATTTACTGGTGATCTCACATGCTCTGATTGGTAAGAAAATGAAGAGGACATAAGTGAGATGATAAGGTGGGTGGTGTTGAAGAGTGACTTTAGGCCATTGTGGAAGCTATGGAGCTGAGATGTTGCTTGGTGCAGGTGGTGGAAACCCCTTTTAGCATTCTGCACCTTTCATTTACAGAGTCTCTAAAGGCACTTCACAAAGGTTTATGAAAACGCAAAGGTTTGATTACAAGACTAGGTTGAGACGATGGCTTTGATTTATCTCAACCTAAAGATTTAACTACTCTTAAGGCTGCTAAATCCGCTAGTAACTCCTCTCTCTATGTTAATTTCTTCTAATATTTCACAGTCCCAACATCTGTATCTGCATCATCCTTATCCATTATGAAGACTGATGCATTGAGAACTGTGCCTATGTCTTCTGGGTCCACATACAGATTGGCTCTAAAGTCCTTAATGGACCTTACTTTTTCTGTAGTTATTCTCTTGCATTTTCAATAACCCTTTTGCTACTTATCAATGCTTTCTCATGCACTTGCTTTGCTTTCCTAATTTCCTTTTAAGAATCCGCCCCCCATCGCACTTTTAGGGATTCTGCCATTTTGAGCCCCTCTACATTTGTCATAATATTCTTTATTCTTTAATCCTAGCCTTTATGTCTCTTAACCCTTTTTCTTTACAGGAAGAAATTTACCCTGAACTCTTGCTAATTCCTCCTTGAATGTTTCCGACTGCTCTGATAGAGTTTTATTTGCAAGTAGCTGCTCTCAGTCCATTTGGGCTAAATTATATCTTACCTTAGTAAAATTAGACTTTCCCCAGTTTAGAACTTCTATTCCCTGGCCCATCCTTATCCTTTTCCATAACTATTCTAAATCTGTTGCGTTACGGTTATCATCTCCAAGATGTTCCCCTACTGATACGTCTTCTAACTGTGCATTCATTTCTAAATATTAGTTCCAGAAATGCTTGTTGAGCTAAGTACTGGCTAAAACAAAATTCTCTAAGGTTTTGGAGTAGATTTGTAGCTCGGGTTGTGGGTGTTGAGGTTGTTGAAGTTGGTTGGCTCGCCGAGCTGGTTTCTTGTTTCGCAGACGTTTTGTTACCATGCTTGGTAACATCCTCAGTGCAGCCTCCAATGAAGCGTAGGTGTGTTTTCCCGCCTGGTTTTTAAACTCTGGGGTCCGTTGAGATGGATTACCTCACTTTCGGGTTTCCTTCATAGTGGAATGTATATGGGGTCGAGTTCAATGTGTTTATTAATAGTATGCTTCGTGGAGTGCCATGCTTCTAGGAATTCTCGTGCCCGCCTCTGCCTAGCCTGTACCAGGATCTTGGTGTTGTCCCAGTTGAAGTGATGCTTCTCCTTGTCCATGTGGATTGAGATGAGTGAGTATTGATCGTGCCTTTTTGTAGCCAGTTGGTGTTCATGTACTCTTGTTGTTAGTTTCCTTCCTGTTTGTCCAATGTAGTGTTTCTCACAGTCTCTGCAGGGGATTTTGTAGATGACATTGGTCCGGTCTATGGTAGGGAGTGGGTCCTTGGGAATTGTCCTGAATGTAAGAACTTTCCATTCTTACCCTACACCCAAAAACTATCCTAGTTAAGATTTGGGTAGTCAAAATTCGCTACAATTACTGCCTTAATATTCTTGAATTGCTGTGAAATTTGAGTACTTATTTGATTCTCTATCTCTCCCTGACTTTTTACGCAACTAAAGTACATAGCCAACAGTATATCTGTCTCTTCTGTGTATTTTCTTTCTACCCATATGGCCTCATTTGATGATCCTTCTAATATCTTGTCCCTCCTCATTGTTTGATTCCTTGACCACTATTGCCATCTCACCTCTTTTATCCCCCTTTCTATCTCATTTCAATACCATATAAATAGGAATGCAGAACTGCCAATCTTTCAGTCAAGTCTCAGCCATAGCTAAAATATCATACTCCCATGTGTCTGTCTAGGCTTGCAGTTCATATATCTTATTTGACAGGCTCCTTGCATTAAAGATATTCTATTTGGTCTTGCTAAACTCACTCCTTTCTTACCTAGTATGTTTCCTCTGCCTTCCAGAATCACTTGCTTGTGTTTTAACTTCTAATTCTATCTCAGCTTCTAGCTTCTCTGAACTACTTCACAGGATTTCATACCTCTGCCAATCCAGTTTAAATCTGACCCAGTAGCATTAGCCAATCAGACCATGAGGATGTGGTTCTCCCTATTCGGATGTAACGTCATCCAAATTGTAGGGTTGCCAACTCCCCTAAAACAGCTCACTGTCTCAGGAATCAGAAGTCCTCCCTCTGGCATCATCTCTCCAGTCACGCATTCATCTGCTCTATCCTTCTATTCCCACACTTATGACTGTGTTGAACTGAATAACTGGATTTTTAAGGGTGTATTAAGTTTCTAACTAAGACTGGGCCCTAAAAAAACTAATTTTATATTTGTTGCAATGTCAAATTTCTGTACTTTGACGAAAATATTTCACATATTTATGTTATTTCAGCTTCTATTTTAATCTTGTGTTATGTCTCAATCATTTATTGCACACTTTATAGATGTTAATTAAAAGTGAAAATTAATCGATGCATTTTAACTTTCTGCTTTGCTGTCTGTCAAAAGATTTCAAAGTGAATTATTGCTAACCCTAATTGATAATGTCATCATTGCTACAGAACTTTTGACTCAGTGCCTGATTCAAACTAACGCCAGAAAAGGGAAAATGTATGCCACACAGATCATTCGACTTTTGTGGGAAGTTTTCTTGGAAATCAGCAGTTAGCACTATCACTTCACTGCTGGTCGTGAAATCTGGGCCAACAGTAACATTTTTCAAAAGTTGATAGAGACTTGTTTCATTTTTCAGATTTTCTAAATTCCCAATTTTTTTTTAATGTTGCTGTGTGAAATATACCATTTAAAATTTGGAAGGATGTATTCATTTGGCAGGAGTTATTACTAATCATGATTAAAAGTAGAAACAAAAACAGAAATTGCTGGAGAAACTCAGCAGGTCCAACATCACCTTCTTTGGGTCACTGGACTCAAAACGTTAACTCTGATTTCTCTCCACAGATGCTGCCAGACCTGCTGAGTTTTTCCAGCAATTTCGGTTTTTGTTTCTGATTTCCAGCATCCATAGTTCTTTGGCCTTTTTTTTATGATTAAAAGTAGCACAGTAAGATAGACAGGGAAATGTTCTGGGTTTATAACATCCAGTCAGTTAACAGAAATGCAGTTACTGATTTTTATACAATTTACAGGCAAATTACCCAAATGCACAAAATGGATCATTTCAATGTATTCAATATTTGTTCAGAACCATCACACAGAAAAACAAGATCACAATCATTCATAAATGTGTAGTAAGTCTTTGTTATAGTTGTACGAGAATCAACGTAGGTACAATGGTAGTAAAAAGAATCCAATTACATACTTTAATAAAATTTGATCAATTGGTAGTGCAGAATTTGAGTATTGCCAAAAAATAGACATCTTGTCTAATCTTTTTGTCTTGCGCTCATACGATAATTAGCAAGAATACCGATGTAAGGGGAACAACATCTTTCTACTGTAAGACCAAACTGTATTGATTGGTTACTAAGTGGACTCTGATTGGTAGAGGTGATGTCATGGAGAATGTAACAGTTAAATGAAGACATATAGTTAACTACAAAGCTTTGTTCAATTTTAAATCAGGCAGGCTACTCTAACTGGTCAAGGCAATCTGTTTGATTTCAGAGATTTGGGAGACAAGAGGCTGCTGGGTGGGGCATTACCCCAGATACTCTAGACACTAACGAGCCTTCCATTTTGTGCAAAGCATCATCTTAGTTAAAGACCTGAACTTGCATTAGGAGCTGCTGCCCAATGTTCGCTAAGCTCATTAACTTCATGATATTTTGGTGACTAGTCCTTGAATCATATGCCTTCTCTTAACAGCGCTCAGCAAACTGGGAAAAAAACTAGTCACTATAGATAATGAAGCACTACCTAAGAGGTAGATCACATTTTGCTATTCACTTGTGGATAGATGCTTGAAGAGGACATCAGTAACATATCAGGAAATTTTATGGAGTCTTTGCCAACACACCGCAAACAGTCTGCAAGATTTATTCTGAAAAATTTAGAGGACTTAACTAAAAATAGTGATTGCTATGCTACCCAATCTTTATGAGCATCACCCAGAAAAAAAGAAGTGCTTAGTTTTTGGCATCTTATGACAGACTGTCCTGTCATGCAGTAAGGATGGGTGGTGGTCGTAATGCCAGGCAGGAGGAAGGGACTGACAGGAGCACTACATGGATTCTTTTCCTGCTGTGGGTGCAGGACATTTCCCCCCAACCAGGCGATCCAATGCTCCTTCCTTGATCCTGTATGCCTTCTTGCTTGGTCTCAGAGTAATTCTGAAACTTCCTGCTGCGCGAGAGCGTCAGTGCACTTCGCACCTTCAGTAGGCATCACGTGTGGAGCCCACATATGCAGTTTCACAAAAAAAAGTCTCTAATCAATATGTGAGGGGAGGATAGACCTGCAGGTTTCTGATTTGCACTCAAAGCAAGGTCAAAATATTAACTAGTAATAAGACCCAAAATCACATGCTAAAACCGGTTTTTAAAATAAGTGTTCTCACCAGTGCAATACCCATTTAGGGCCTGTATTTATTCTTCCATCAAAATGAACTCCTAGGGCTGCCTCTGTGATTGCAAAATACAATACTACCCAACACTACTATTAGGTGAGTTCTACTGCACAGTATAGTTATGCATTTAAGTTCTTTATTCTTGTGTGCAAATTAACTTCATATAATGATCAATTATAACTTTAACAAAATCTACTGTAGAAAGATGAGGTCTAATTTCCTTACTGGAATAAGTAACATATTTTTATTCCACTTCCACAGTGTTACTCGTTACTAAGAAATTGATTAATATTTGTAAAGAGCATTGCCAATGGCAACTTGATAAGCGCACAGGCTAGAATGGCATTGAGCTGTACAAAACAGCAACATGCCAGGATTGCTCCAAGGTCTACACTGAGGGTAGCAGTTAGGGCAACAATGAAAAGACAAAAAACTGGTTATTAAGGTTTTCCACTCTGGGTTATGATCCAGTCTGCTGCAGGGAAATCAGTCTTTTTTAAAAATAAAACAATAAGTTCCTATTTCTAAAAATTCTAGGGTACAGTACCTCTTAAAGATTAAATGAGAGGAAAAGTATGATTAATTTTCAATGGCTAAGCAGAAACCAAAGGGGTTTTAGGGATTTAAAAATGATCCTGAATTAGAAATCATACAGAGTAACAGTAAACAGAGAACGCAATATTCACAAATGTCTGAATTCTCGATCTTACAGTCCTTCTTACTAGCGTCTGCAGGCCGCAAGTGGTCAGTCTCACAAGTGAAGAAAGTCTGATGATCTTGTGCGGAAAGATTCATGTCATAATATGTCAGAGGCTCCCTTCCCGTTACCCATGTATACCTTTAAAAAAATCAAAGAGAGCAAAAAGGAAACAGTGAACAGAAGAAGTTATATGCTCGAGCCAAGATGAGTTGAAACTGTTGTTTCAGAAAATAAAATTTCAAAGTAACCACAAAATGCATAGAATATAAGGCCTTGGCCCAAATATAAAAGTCAATTATTCTTCCTTTTCTTGAGAATGAAAGCCTTATATCCAAAAACACTGCATCAACTGAAAAAGAAATCCATGGAGGAGATAATGTTAACTGTGCGACTCTTTCCTATGGACAAAATGAAAAAGTATTTGCCAAGTCAGTGCTTCAGTGTGTATTGCACTTCTAGAACCATTTTACATCTATACATATGTAGCCATATCACAAACAGAATTCTTTGTAATATTAAATATTCCAGCCAAAAGCTACGCAACTCAGAATCTAACTGAAGATTACAGCTGCCTCTGGTAACATGTATATGACAAAGTTACTTGTCGTGCTGAAAGTTAATGACTGTACACCATAAAATGAAAAGCTTCCACACAACTTGTGGTACTGAGCACTGCATGCAGGACTACTCACCGATTGTATTCTGCTCCTCTAAATAAATTGAGTGGATTCCGCCACACCTTACATTCTGTCAGTGAAAACAGAAACTAATCATTATTGTTGTAATCTGCACTGGAATGAAAATAACACATTCTTAATATGCATAAAACAGAAAGCCTTGAAAATCTCTCAATTCCCAGCGATGGAATATAGATTTATATAGCATCCTTTACACAATGAAACCATTTTAAAAATTCTGACATCTAGCCACATAATAACATATTAGGTCAGACGATAAAAAGTTTAGTCAAACGGCTATATTTTAAGAAGTGCCTTAAGTAAGGAAAGCCAAGCAGAGAGGGAGAGAAGTATGAGAAGAGGGTTCCATAGTTTAGGACTTAGGCAGTTGAAGGCACATCCAACAATGGAAGAGCAATTAAAAATGATAATGCAACAGAGTTAGAAGTTGAGGAACACAGATATCTTGATCTTGAAGAGTTTACAGAAATCAGGAGAGACAAAGCATTGAAGGGATTTGAAAACAAGGATGAGACTTTTGAAATCAAGATGTTGCTTGACCAGGTGCCATTGTAGGTCAACAAGCACTGGGTGATAAGGGATCAGGACATGCTGCCACTTAAGACAGGGCCAGAGTTCTGGAATGACCTCAAGTTTATGGATGGTAGAGGATAGGAGACCAGTAGGAGTATGTCAGAATAGCCATGTGTAGATATAAGCAAGCAGCAGATGAGCTAAGATATGTGAAATTAAGCATTTGAGGTTCTCATGAATGAGAATATGAGAGGTCCCAAGTTCCTTGTTGTCATTTGTAGCAAAGTCACCAATTGAGTTCTCAAAAGATGAAGTTAGCTGGAAATGCAAGCTGTGAGGCAGACAGAAAGAGACTGAAAAGACAGGCACACAGGTTACATGAATGTGTAGCAAGGAGGTAGACGGAGTATAATGTGGGGAGGTTATTCATTTTGGTAGAAAAGAAAAGCAACATTTTTTAAAAGTATGTGTGAATGTGCAAGTACAGTAAACAATTAGGAAGACAAATAACATACTGCCCTGTATTATAAGGGGATTGACAGCAAGAATGAAGAAGTCTTGCTTTAGTTGTACAGGGCTTCCTGAGACCACACCTGGAATATTGCGTTGAGCTTTCCAAATCTTAAGAAGAAACTATTTGTATTGGAGATAGGGCAGCGAAAGTTTACTAAATTGGCCTCTGGAATGAGAATATTTCCTATGATGAAAAGCTGAATAAATTGGGTCTATACTCTCTGGTTTAGACGAAACAAGTTTTACAGATGCCGCTGTCGACAAACCCACTGGCAGGGGCCATAAAATTCTGCCATTTAAATTTTAAAAAAAGCACGAGATCTACCTCCAGATCTGCAATTCCCCACTTGCACTCATTAACACTTCTGTTATTGTGAAAACGCTTCAGAGGAAGTGTGCATCTCAGACGCCAATTCAGAAATGACAGTGTAGAATTTCTGGGAATATCTCTGAGGCATACCGGCCTCAGAACATTAATTCTGTTTCTCTCTCCACAGATATTGCAAGACATGCTGAGTTTCTCCAGCATTTCCTGTGTTTTTTTAGATTTGCAGCAACTACTGTGTTTTGTATTAGTATCTCTCCCATAATTGGGTACAGTACCAGGTAAACAAGAAAAAGGGAGAGAGAGAAAAAGTTATTCTTGGTGGCTTTGCAACTACACATTCCTTTAATTCTATACTTGTTGAGCTGCTGATATCAACTCTGTTTCTGTACAGAGGTGCTGAGGAGACCACATATTTCTAACCGTAAAGGATAAAATGGATGAACTGAAAAATTAAATTTTAACCACCCAGCTCACTAGTATCTTCTATTGGACAAATCACACAAGCATCAACCCCATGAGAAAGGGCAGGAGAAGAAAGGAAAATACACATGGCCTAGTCCTTGTAGTTTGCTCAAAGTTATATTCTGAAAAGAAATCTACAGCTTACTTTCAAAGATCATTTGCAATTAAAATCAGCTTTGCACTTTTTTTATACAGATTTGTACAGCAAATAGAAACTCAAGATACAGTGGACCCTAACTGTTTACAAGAATCCAACAGATTTTTTCAATCTATAGTGGACCAAGCATTCTTAGGTTTTGCCTGGGTGGTAACCTAATTACATTTGCATTAATTAAGTTTTACTTGAGATATGAACTGCTGCCATGTAAATGATTATATGTACATTTAGCAACATAATGAGCAAAATCTTAACGTTTTGTAAGAGGAGTCACCACTCAGTGGGAGAGCTGGTGATATACCTGCACTCTCTTGCCCATCAATCCATACAGCAATTAAGCAGTGATAAGGTCACTGGTAGGCTTTCTCCTAGACCCAAGACTCCAGGGGTGGGTGTCCCACCCAGTGAGAGCTGCTGGCCAGAGGGTGGTAGCTCTTACACTCAGCAGCAAGGCAGAGATGGCCATGGTTACTGGTTAAAAAAAAACAAACAAAATCAGAAATTGCAGGAAAAGCTCAACAGGTCTGGCAACTTCTGTACAGAGAAAGCAGAGTTAATGTGTTGGGTCCAGTAACTTTTCTTCAGAACTGAAGAAGGTAGAAAAATACCCCTGGTGTTCCAGGATGTTGGGGGAGCCCTGGACAAAGGTAAGAAATGTGGGGTGGATGGTGATTTCTCAGGCTGGGGTAACAGGGTCAGAAACAAGGTTGGATCCTACAGGGCACCCCTAAACCCATGTTTAGACCTCAATCAGGCACTGATTGGCTTTGATGGAGGAACCATGTTCCCACAAGATGACAAGCTACCTGCAGAGTAGCAACTATTGCCAACTCCATATTGTGACAGGTCTGCATGTTATTAGGTTAATCCTAGCAGCAGTGGGCTGACGGACTTGAGTGGTTCTTAATTGACTATTTAAGAGCCTTAGTTGGTGTTGGGTTGAGAAGGTCCGCCAGAACCCAATTTTGGCAGAGACTCGAAGGTGGCAGGGTTCAGGTGTGTAATCACCCAGCTTAATAAAATGCTCTTCTTGCCTCCAGGTTCACAACATTTTACCTTATTTGTTTGATCTCATCTAATTGACAGCTCTTGTTTAGAAGTCTCTGGGTTGTGGCTTAATGCAGACATTTCCTAACATTTAGCATTTTGTTTCAATTGAATCAACCTGAAATACTGGACTCAATGTGTTCAGCAGTACTGCCTCACTCACATCACATTAGGAATTTTACTGAAGATCGTTTCCTCCAAATCTCTTGCACTCTAACAGGCAGTGTAATAAATGCTGGAGGATGATATTACATTTGTTTCCTAAATAATTACATCATTATTAATCTGTGTTTAACTGCATCTGCAAAATAATCTTGTAAAATAAATTTGACTATTGATTTAACCTGAATGCAATGATCTGGTTGCAGTGTTTATGAATATTTGGAATAGACAGCGAAGAATGGTGAACACCACATGTGGACTTTGATCCATTGTATCCAATTCAGGCTGCAATGTTGCAGGTTCTCTTCATATGAGACTGGTTCTCTCTCTAAATATCTACTCTTGCTTGGACAATCTATTGGAAAAAAGCCTGAATGGATACATCTGGTTTTAAGTTCCCAATGGCGTTCGATATTAAACACTAAGGAGCTGAATTTTCATGGAGGATCTCCCAACTAACTACCATACCTTCAGGGAAAGTATCATGGGATCCCTGGAATTTCATGTAAATATTAAAGGTTCCAATCTTGGTGAGGTAGAAACCAAGGCAAATTACTTTGTGGAGAGAGTTTATTGATGTGGTCAGTCCTACAACTGTCATCTAACACCACACCTCCCTACCCTGATCCACTGTCCCTTTTTTAATAGTGCTCAAGGATTATGATCCACCACCTGTATCTCTTAAATTACAATCCCAGTGGATGGTACTACTTGACAAGGCAAGTCCTAGAATGAAACCAGGTTTAATAGATTTTTTTTTTAATTAACATGGTGGTTGGTCACTGAAACATATTCACATGAAGCTGCAGATGTTCTTTAACAATAGAATCTATTATACAAAAGAGAAAATAAGTTGTATAGATATACTGCAGTTAGTAAGATCTTAGCACAAATAGTAAAACAAAGTTTCAACTTGTTTCATAACACTATCAGATATAAGACCCAAGTCCAGAGAAAATATTACTCTTATCTTTTCTCGAAACATTTCTAATTAACTGACTCCTTCCAGTACTTTCGCTTGAATTGATTAGGCAATGTTGCAATTCCTTGTGAAGGCTGATGGCATAAACCTTTCATTAATTAGAATTAAACTGAACTAAACCATGTTGGAAGAGAAACTGGAAACTTACTTCTGAACTCAACTGTAATTTTTTTCTCAACAATAATTCTCATATTTTCTGAACTAAGCTGAAAATAAAACTAATGATTAAATATGTTTACACTGCTTTAACTGAAAAGTACAAACGTCTTATGCATTAACATTCAGGGGTTGTCCTAAGTTTTTAAATGGTAGTCACTCGTCTTCTTTAAACTAGTATATTTAGGTCACTGTTCCAGAATAACTTGCTGACCATTAAAAAAGAAATCATCCTCAAAGCATCAACTCAAATCTATTTGCACCACATTTTAAAGAAATCCACATTCCATATACAAAAATCTATTTTATGCATCTTTCATCACACTTACCCTTGACAATGTCATGAACAAACCATAACAATGTTAAGGACAAGACAGCAATAGTAAATCCATTTACACAAGTTCCTGGAGGTACCATCCACCCTACTGAAGAAGTTCTAGCAAATGAGGGGAGAAATCCCAAGGAAAATTCACTCCTCTGTTCTAATCCAGTTATTTTTTATCCCTGTAGGAATGGCTTGATTTTTACTGCCGAATTCATTGTATGTTTAGGGCTACAGTTATGGATAGAAGGTTTAATAAGAATATCCCCTTCCCTGATCAGTGTCAACTGACAGCCTCACTAACAAAGCAAAGCCAAGTGAAGGCCATTTTATTCCATGATCTCCTGAAATTGTCTTATTCATTTTCGCTTTGTATTAAATGGAGATGGAATAATGTTGATAATGGGGAGAAAGCACACACGTTTCCAATATCCTTCCACATAAAGAGGGTACGTGGATGGAGAAGGAATGAAACGAAAAGGGACACTGAATTCTGGTTCAAGAGGTGCAAGTCAAAAAATGCAGCTGCTGACTGGTGAGTTGACATCAATTGTTCAAGAAAATTAGCTTTTTTACAATCTCACAGTCAGCTGCCTTATCATCAACACAACCTGAACTTCTTTAAGGATAATCTCTTAATGATTACAACACAGAAAAACTAATTTACTTCTAGGGGCTTGCACGTTCATTGTTTCTCAGATAACATACATCAGACATATTAAAAATAGATCTGTAATTAGTATCTTCAGTACGCAGCCCTCGCTTTCAATTATTATTTAATAGAAGCACCCAAGGCATTGAAACAACCACTTATAATCTTCATCTAAATCACTTAAGTGATCTTTTCCTTCAGTCCAATTGCAAACAGATCTGAATTTTAGAAGATTAAATTCGATTAACATTTAAATCATTGCTGCCAGTTAAAGTAGCAGACATGTCAATAAAGCAGCCTGTTCAAGGCAGTTTTGTTGACTTCACTTTTGTCAGAAGACTGCTACGTAGATTAACCTGATCATTGAATTAACTTGCAGTGTAACAATAAACCTAGCTTTCATTATCTCAAACTGTATAAATCTGTTCATACTGAAATTCATAAGGTAAAAGGACCCGAAAGTAAGATATATTGCTTTGTTTATCAAGGGTATCAGGTAAAATTACACTTCTAACAGGAATTTGCAGCAGTTAGACCACTGTCTAGAAATATGAACATTTCATTAAACAGCATTAGCCTATGAAAGATAACTATATTGATACAGCTGGTTTACACTGCAAAGTAAACAATATATCAGATACACCATTAGCAATGACAGAGCGTCTACATAACATTTCTCTTTCACAATCCTCTTGTGACAAAACACACATTTGGTAGATTTCTAAAACTAGTTTGGTAGGGAGTCTGCTGTGTTAGCTTAATCACTAAATAAGCCAAAGTATAAATATTCTGGTGCTACTTTCCAAATGTGTTGAATACATACTCTGTAGGCAGTACTTCGCCAGGAAAATACTTTTCCAATATTTGTTCACTAATGACTATCAGGACAGTACAACAGGACATGACCCAACATCTGTAAAATACACACTGTTTCTCCAAGAATGTATTCATGTCTGCAGAAGATTAAAAGGCAAAGGTTTATTTTGACAGTACTTCTATTATTGAAATTTAACTGCTATCATACAAATGCTTCCCCACTGGTAAAGCTTTAAAAAGAAAGAGGAGGGAACTAAAAGAATGTTCCACGTCCTCTTTATATCAAGAAAGATCAGTGGGGATTTATAGAACACTAAATAAGTTCTTCACTTCTCTGCATTGTGACATTCTTACCTCTAAGTATAAAGAAAACAACACTATTATGAAGATAGATATAAAGTATATTGTACTCCTGATCTTAATGCAAAAGAAAAGCTTTTATTAAAATTGCAATTCTATTATCCAGTATTCTGACCTTCTACAAGATATCGCACCAGTGGCCAGTGTTCTTGCTACTGAATGTCTGCGAGACTTTGCCCTGAAAATACTAAGATATTATGTAAAGCACTTAGAGCAATCATATCAAATTCTTTTATTCTCAATTGGACAACTCTTATGCGAATGTGTGAAACCCCTATAAACTAATTTGAAAAACATAAAAACAAAACAATGTATTTCCAGTTCACTTCTTTAAAATTCTGATTCAGGAATTTTCTGACCTTCTCCTACTGCTTCTTGTTCATTCATGAATCATCCCTTTCGTGAACCCTTCAGACTAATCAAATGTACAAATCTACAATCTGCCCTCATAGTTGCAGCAATGCCAACTTGTCATGATTAGTGTGATGGACCAGACTAAAGCCCCTCAAAATATATGGTGAAGATAGTCTAGACCCTACCTTTTTCTTATCTTAAAGCTAAGTGTCAGGCGTTTTGTTCCAGGCTTGAAACAAAACATGCTTTATTCACACACTATAATTAAAATACAAACAAAGCAAAAATAAAAGAATTGGCTGAACTATAACTCGAAATGCTTAACAAAATAATATATATATTAACTACTACTAATTAACTGTCCGAATATAGTAACATCCCATAAACACACCCTTGGCAAAGGCAAATTCAGTAAAATAGATTGTTTCATATGCTATTCTAGCAGTGGGAAGAGAATCCCAGCTTTTAGTTGTAACAGAGAGAGGAATAAAAGTTTCCACATCCAGCTTCAAGACCCCAGCAACTGCAACTGAAGGCTAAAACTAAAGTGAAAATCCTGGTTCTGTGGGAGCTTGACCCCATCCTTTCAGGTTTCTTCTATTATTCCAACTTTTAAAAAATACTCAAGGCCTCACAAGCTGTTTACTTTATTGGATTTGAGCAGACAGTCTAAATCTTACTTCATATTTTTAAAAAAGGACAAAATACATCTCTTTAAGTCATAGTATCGTCACATTAGTGTTAGGTCTCAAAGTCTTTCATAAATTCTTCCCATCCTAAACTTATCACACTCAGAGAAACTGTGAGAAGGTGGAAACAGTCAAATGCTACAGACATCAGCACTCTGGTATTCAGCATCAGCTCACTGGACTTGCATTCTACCCACTTAGGAGAACATTCTACTTAAAAATACGTCCTTAATTCTGTAAGCAACTTTAATATCACCTCAGCTACATTAAATGAATGCATACAATTCACTTGGCTGCCTGTTAATTCCATGTGAACATTACTTTGCTTCAACAGCTTACATATTTATAATGCTTTCCTAAACACAGGGAACCATTTCAAAGTCTTAAATGACAGTGGATGAAATAACTCTACAGAGGCTGGTATCCATCACCAAGTCACCCTTTATTCACACTTGGAGAGTCTTTGACACTGATCCTCCTCCATCAGTGCCAGCTCTAAGAGTGAACAGAACCTCCGACACTCTTGTTCTTATCTGTCAGCCAGGGCTCCCTGATTGGGCCAGATTAACAGCCGCAATCAGGGAACTCATATTCTATGAGGGCCGCCTGGCTGACCTTGTTATAATCACTACAGTAGACAAATAGTGGACCCTACGCAAAAGGGAGATAGATGAAATGTTTTGGTGAGGAGGCAAAGGCAAAGAGAATGATGATAAGGAGATATCTAAAAGCAGGAGGTTCTCGGGAAGAAAGTACAATGCTTCAGAAAGAAGCTAATATGGTGAAGTAGACACAACTATATGTCCACGTTTCACATCTACAGCCTGCTTCAGCCTCAGGTACAGCCCCCTGCTTCAGTATAATAGGTAACAGGCTCTTTTCACCGAGAAAAATATTTGACCCAAATTATTAAGAGACACAGAAACTGCACACATCATTTTAAAATCAAATCAGGAACATTCTCAAAGAATGGCAATTTTTGCAGAATATCATGCTGCGGTTACCTGATACACTTTGTCTGTTGGAATCAGTCTCTCCATTATTGGAGGTGGAGTTACTGGGGGCAGCGTTGTCCACCCCACCAAGCAAGGGTCGTAAGTGGCTGACTGATACCTGCTCAATAAATGATGTCCCATACTTTCGAAAATACCACCATTCAAATATCTGTGAAAAAGAACAATAGCCAACGTTTTGATTAAACCTGAAAATCTGGCATAACTATTAAGTTTGTACTTGAAGAGTAAACACTCAAACCAAGTGTAAAGCAACTTTTTAGCACAAAAGGAGTCATGTTCACAATAAATTTAATGTGGCTTTCCCTATTTTTTTTCAAAGATGGAAGAAATGGTAAGAGGTTCCAATTGTTTCTGCTGACCTTGCATGAGGTTTAGTATCCGAGCAGTCATCAACTCCGATAAATTCAACTTGAATGAACAGATTTAATGCTTTTAAAAGGATTACACAGCATTTACAGCCAGGCAACAGACCATTCAGTCCTACAGTTCCATGAGCATCCCTTTAGATGCATGTCAGCTTTTCAACTCAATGACTCCTTGTTAATATCCACATTCTTTCTGCCCTCCCTCACTGGTTAATGATACAATGGGAGCAGCCTATGCACGCGCCCCAGTCATTGGATACTCCCAGCCCCAATTACTGGACCCTGGCTCTGGCCACTTCCCAGCCTCAATTACCAGACCTTGGCAGTGTCACTCCAGGGTCTTTGTTTTTGGATCCCGAACACCAGATCTCATTGTTCTCTGGGATGGTTACTGGACACCGCTTCCTGCTGTTCCATGTCCTGGTTACTGTATCCGCCACATTGCGCCATTCAGTATCTCACCCACTGGGCACAAAACAGAGTGCCCAGGGCAGCGAGGTGGCTCAGTGGTTAGCACTGCTGCCTCACAGGGCCAAGGGCCTGGGTTCGATTCCAGCTTCGGGCAATTGTGTGGGGTTTGCACATTCTCCCTTGTCTGCATGGGTTTCTACCCGGTGCTCCAGTTTCCTCCCACAGTGCAAAGATGTCCAAAGTTAGGTGGACTGGCCATGCTAAATTGCCCATAGTGTTCTGGGATGTGTAGGTTAGGTGTGCTAGCCATGAGAAATGCAGGGTTACAGGAAGAGGGTGCAGGATACGTCTGGGTAAGGTGCTCTTTGAAGCGTTGGTGTGGACTTGTTGGACCGAATGGCCTGTTTCCACACTGTGGAGACTCTATATAAAAAGAACAATGAGGAGAGTTTTGGTAGGGAGATGCAAGGGAGGGGTGGGAATGACACTGGAGAGTTGAGCAGCATCAGAGAATGGGTTGGGAAGGAGAATGACTCAAGCGGGAGTTTGGAACTGTATGGGAGGGAAACAGAGCTGTGTCACAAAAGTGGAGAGGAGAGACAGCAGCAGGGATGCAAAATGGGGATAGGATGGAATAGGAATTAAAAGATGGCAAAAAGGGGATGGCATGGGGGAGAAGATAGGGTAATAGGAGAGGAATGAATAGAGTGGGTTGTGCACGGAATGAAGCAGGTGGCAGGGCGGGATAGGTGCTTGGAATGGAAACTGAAAAATCTCACATAATGTTTTGCAAATCTCTAACAGCATATATAATACATGCAATACTTTGGTTAAAGATAAGTAAATCACCCGCTGATCTGTCAGAAGCAGCTACAAAATTTAGAACTGGTTAGCTCCAGATCAGAGATAATTTGGACCAAACGATACTGTCTTAGGAAAGACAACATACTTTTCTCTGCTCCACTCATTTTTCTTAAGAGTTATTGGGATTTGGTCAGTCTTTGTTTGGCAGGTGATACAGTGGTTAGCACTGCTGCCTCACAGCGCCAGGGACCTGATTTCGATTCCAGCATCGGGCAACTGTCTGCATGGAGTCTGCACATTCTCCCTGTGTCTGCGTGGGTTTCTGCTGGGTGCTCCTGTTTTCTCCCAAAGCTGTGCAGTTTAGGTGGATTGGCCATGCTAAATTACCCCGTAATGTCCAGGAATTTGCAGGCTAGGTGGATTAGCCATGGAAAATGCCAGGTTATAGGGATAGGGTGGGGGGTGAGTCTGGGTAGAATGCTTTTTGGAGAGTCGATAGGGATTCGAAGGGCTGAATGCCCTCTTTCCACACTATAGGGATTCTGTGATTCTATTTGTCCAGTCAATATTCATTTCTCAACACGCTCCACCAAATCAGGTTATTTGGTCATTGATCTCAGTGATTTTTGTGCATCCTACCTGAGCACAAATTAAAGCTTGCATTTCCCTAATTTACAATTTGGATCATACTTCAAAATTATGTAATTAGCTGTGAAACAATTGGAGATGTCCTGAAGTTGTCAAAGATGTTATATAATGCAAAAAAAATGAAAGAACTGCCGATGCTGCAAATCTGAAACAAAAACAGAAATTGCTGGAAATGTGGAGAGAAATCAGAGTTAATGTTTCAGGTCTAGTGACCCTTCTTCAGTTCTGAGAGTTTCCAGCAATTTCTGCTTTTGTGTGTTAGATAATGCAAGTTGGTTGTTTGGTTTTTACAGTTGGGAGAGTGGGCAAAATTTGAATTTCAATATTTCATCAAATAAAAATGCTGCTTACAAGTAACTTCCTTCTCCATCAGTCAGCATTTATAATATCCTGGTGTATGAGTATTCTGATATAGCTAATGGTGTAACAATGAGGTAATGACATGGAACCTCCAGTGAAATTCTTCAAAACTCTCACTGTAATCTCAGAAACTCTGGAGTAACAATGTAAATGGTAGTTAATGCTGCTTCCCAGGGACTTAAAGCCAGTGATTAGGAGAAACACTGTACAAATTCTACACTTGGATTTAACATTGTGTTTGAAATACCAAAAAGGGCATGAAAGAAAGAAGGTCTGTTCAAAAAAATATTAAAGTTGTACCATCTAGGTAAAAATATGTTTAATAAATTTCTTTTTTGTTTGTGAGAGCGTGAAATGTGAGAGGTAGACTTTTGCTGCCTTTTGCAATAATGTCTTAAATAATTGGACAATAAACACGAGAAAACATAAACAAAGAGGAGGGAGTGTTGACACTGTGACCACATCACTGGATTTCAGGACAAAATGTGATTCTGTAATTAAACGTACATTTCAAAATCACTCCTAAAAGTATTTACACTAAAAAGATTCATGTGCAATTTCCTGACGGATCCTGTATAAATCAAAGGACACCCAGCAAGGGTGGTAATGGTGAGTTACATAAATTAAAGCACTCGGAACATCATCAACGTGACATATAAAGCTGAGGAGACTACAAGTTATGAAGTCTGTCAGATAGCACTATATTATCTTTGATTCATTGCTTTTAGGTATGAAGTATTTATCTCATTAGTGATGAATGTGGCATACTCCCAGTCCTCCACCTTCCCAGGTCAAACATATAGTGTATATTGTCCCTATCCTTCACAACTGCCTGTGCATTACTGTCTGACAGCCCACTTTACTACCTCGGAATACAAAGCAATATAGTGTTTCTCCATTCACCTATTACCCACCTCAACACATGTTTCTGGATTTTAAAATATTACAGAAAAAAAATCTCTGCTAACATGAATCTTGCTCACCCCACACTCAATGCCGTAAGACATTTGTTTAGGGAAGAGTTGACTCAAGCTATTTTTGTGCATTTCAATTCAATTAGTGAAAAAAGGCCAGGAATTCCGCAGATTCATGTTCTAGCCCACGTTCACATTCAAATAGGAATTCACAAGTGAATGCATTGCAGATCCTATAAGACAACTCAATGAGAATTTAAAAGCAAAATATTGCAGATGCTGGAAATCTCATCTTAAAACAGAATGTGCTGGACTCTGCATGTCCAGCAGCATCTATGGACATAAAGTTAACACATAATAAGTTAGGGAATCGTAGAATTCCTACAGTGTGGAAGCAGGCTATTTGGCCCATTGAGTCCACTTTGACCCTCTGAATAGCATCCCATCTAGACCCACCACCCTACCCTATCCCTGTACCCTTGCATTTTCCATGGCTAATCCAACTAAGCTACACATCCCTGGACACTATAGGCAATTTAGCATGGCCACTCCACCTAACTTGCACATCTTTGGATTCTGGGACAAAACCTGAGCACCTGGAGGAAATCCATGCAGACACATAGAGAACGTACAAACTCCACACAGACAGTCTCCCAAAGCTGGAATCGAACCTGTGTCCTTAGCATTGTGAGACAGCAGCCACTGAGTCACCGTGCTGCACCATGACTAGAATGAACAAACAATCACATCTGAGCAGATGATGACAATTGATCCAATACCAAGCCTTAGGGACAGTACAACAGGTACTTGAAACCTGTGAGGAATTAAGAGCTAAGCTCCTGGACTAAATGCAGAGTGCCATCAGCAGCTGATTACAGCAAGGGTTGGCTTGGTGTAGCAAAACAGCACATATTCCCAGGCAATTGTGCTAATAACACCTTTCCTCTACGCTATCTAAATTGATAAAGTTAACAATAATGCTTAACAGCATGACACAGCTTTCAGTTTAGGCAGAAAGCTTCAGAATCCATTAAAGACTGACCTCGATTTCTGTTAAACAGACAACATAATTCCAGATGAACTGCTGCACTGTTTGGAAATACATCAAAACATTACATCATGTTTCAATAAGCTATAGATGGAGTGCCTTGAAATTGGCAGTTGTGTAAACAGAGTACAGTCAGTCTCTGGGTTGCGAACATGTTGTGTTCTGGAGCCTGTTCGCAAGTCAATTTATACACAAGTCAGAACACAATCCAAGGCAATATAAAGTACAGGAAACCTTCGTATCTTGGGGTGGGTTCTTTAAAGTTACACCCCTACATGAGACCTCGTTCTTAAGCAAGATGTTCGCACTTAGGACATGTACAAACAGCGTAATTCTGTGCTAGTGAACATGTTGTGCTAATAGTCCTTCTGTAAAGTAGGCTAAATGAAAGTAATATTATCCACTGTGGAGTGCCCTCCCCTTCTAATCACTCAATATCTTCAAGATGATCACATCTTATTTTAGTCCTTTTAAAAAGGGAGAGGGGATCCATCCAGTGACACAAATGAGAATATTCAAAATTCTCAATTGTCAACTGTAACTCATCTGAAAACACTCAACCCAATGAGTCAGAGGTCAGCTGTATAAGTCCCACTGTTGAGCTGTGAGTACAAAAATCTAGGCTGAAAATCCAGTGCAATACTGAGGGAGTGCTACACTATCTGACATGCAGTCTTTTGATTGAACTGTTAAAACAAGGTCACATAGCTTTCTCAGATAAAAGATTCCATGGAATGATTTTGAAAAGCGAACCATTTTCGTTGATATCTTAACCAATATTTATTGCTCAATCAAATTCACTACAATGGCTAATCTAGTCACTATCACATATTGTTTGTTGGAGCATGCACATTTGCTGCTGCGATTCCTATACTGCAACAGGGTATTGTTTCCTACATTGCTACCCTTCTAAAGTACGTAATTAGATGTAACGTGCTTTGAGTAATGTTAAGGTCATGGGAAGTGTTATATAAATGTAAGCTTTGTTCTAGGTGACTGAAAAAGGCAAGTGACTACAGAATCCAAATCCAGGGACCTTTCAGTTCTTGTCAAGAAGGAGTTGCAAGAATCCAACCTGGAAACCATTCTGATTTCAGCAGCAGTAAGTACTTCTGGAACTGCAACCTGGCAACCTTATTAATTGTGGTGATATTCAAACATGTTCAGTAACACAGTCTGCAGAAACAGTAGCATCAAAATGTTTGGAAAAAAACTCTAGAAATTACAAGAGGTTGGAAAACTGATAAGGTTGAGGATATTGGATGGGCTCACTAGTAGACTCGATTATCCCCCATCAGATTCTGCAATCATTATTTACGCCCATACTACGATTAATGATGAGATTTACTTACCAGAATAAGCCCAGAGATCAAAGAAGATGTGCCTGTCAGAGCAACGTAGAATTTGGGGGTTAATGTATTCAAAAACATACTCACTGCAAAAGAAAAAAAGGAGAAAACACATTAACATTCATCTTCACAGGCAGAAGCACAGTTCCATAGAATTCTAATAGAACTTCTAAAGGGTCTTGAACAACAATTTTCTCCAATTTTATGTAACAACCACTGCACAGAATATGTTTGCGTGCATTACACATTTCATTTTATTATCTTGCATTTACAAATATGAACACTCTTCAGAACACAGTGCTTTTCTCAGAGTCTGATTACTGGGTACATTAGTTAAGGTGTACTGACTCCTTCATCAAACTCGCTGAACGACAGGCTGGCGAGTAAGCCTGAGAAACTGAGTTCAAATCCATGTTTGAGCAACTGAGCATTATTTTTCAAAAATAACCTGGAAACAAAAATAAACTATGACCCTGGAGATTGTTGTAAGACTCCAACTGGTTCACCAATACACTTTCTGTAAGGAAGTCAACCTGATTTATACATGACTGGTTAATTCTTAACTGTTGTCTGAAGTAGCTAATAAAACCACACTCAGTTATATCAAACCACAATGATTTACAGAAAAAGTCCCACTATAATCTTCTAAGGGCAATCAGGGATGGATAACAAACACAAGCCTTGCTAGTAATGCTCATATCCAGAGAACAGCTTTCCAGAAATCTTCAGTATTATTTTTTGTTGATTGAATTACCTTGTGTTATGATCCCAATTGATGGTAATTTTGGATTTAAATCCCAAACTGAACCCCGGCCTGATAGATCCTAAGTTTTATTTTTAAAATTTAGTTTCTGTTGTGATCAGTCAAATGAACAGCAGAAAGATTCAACTTCTTTTCCCAACAATATCTTTTACAGACACCTAACCCTAGTGAAGTATCATGCCTATCTTCAGCTTAAAAGTTTTTACAAGAGCAAAGCCAAAAACTGCTTATAACTAAGCATGTATTGGTATTGCTGTTTGCTAAAGATGTGCAAATAAACACCATTTGCCTTTTTAAAACATACAGAAGTGTGAACTCATGTCAGAACTTTACAAAGTTAAAAGGGCCTTGCAAGCCACAAAAATTATTGAATGCAAACTAACTAGTAAGGGTAAGACACTGGTGTAGCAGTAACATGACTGGAGTAGTAATCCAGAGGAACAGATTAATAATGAGTTCAAATACCACTGTGACACCTGGTGGAATTTTATTAGTATAATCTGAAATAGAAACCAAGTCGCAGTTCAATCTGTATTTCTTACCTAGTTTGACCAACATGCAACTCCACACCTACAGCAATGTGCTTAACTCTTAACTGCCCTCTGAAATGATCTGGCAAAGTAATCAGTTTAAGGGCAATTAAGGTAACAAATCATGAACATGCCAGTGATGCCTACAGCCGACAAAAACATAAAAAAGAACTTAATTGGGCAGTAAATAAATGTCACCTGCCAGGTTGCAACTCCACGCTTATAATATTTCCTTTTGATAGTTATTGATAATGTTGGGAATAAAAAGACAGGTGTGATACACCAAAAATGCGAACCATTCAGATAATAACAAGCATTCAGCAAAAGGACATTATTGAAACAAATGTATTTTACCTGACAATTGACAGTAGTTTCATAGTTACCATTAAACTCTTAATTCCAGATTTTTTTTATTGAATTCAAATTCCACCACCTGCCAAGGCAGGGTTCAAACCCAGGTCCCCAACACATTTCCTGAGTCTTTGGATTAATAATCTAGCAATAATACCATTAGGCCATTGCCTGCCCTTGAACCACATGGACTTCTTGAACCAGTACAGTTTATGTTCCACATTAAAGAACAGAAATCTAGATTGCAAATAGCTGCAAATGCAGACCTTTTAAAAAAACACTTCCTGAAACTACAGGAGAAAAGGAAGACATTTGTTTTTTGAGCCTGATCAGCTAAGTTTTTGATTTTAAGACTTATAAAACTTCTAGATCTTAATTTTTTTTGTAAATCTATAATAGTGAATAAGAATTGTAGAATCCCTACAGTGTGGAAACAGGCCATTCTGCCCAACAAGTCCACACCCACCCACAGAGAATGCCACCCAGACCCCATCCCCCTAATCTACACATCCCTGAACACTATGGGCAATTTAGCATGGCCAATCCACCTAGCCTGCACATCTTTGGACTGTGGGAGGAAACCCATGCAGACAAGGGGAGAATGTGCAAACCCCACACAGACAGTCACCCAAAGGTGGAATTGAACGCAGGTTCCTCGGTCTGTGAGGTAGCAGTGCTAACCACTGAGCCACCATGAGGGCTGAGGACTATGGGCCAAATGCTGGCAAATGGGTCAGATTGAGATGTCTGGTCAGCGCGATAAGCTGGACCGAAGGGTCTGTTTCCCTGCAGTAGGACTCTATTTGATTATCTAAATTCTTTCCAGTATGTCCTCCCATCTACCATGCTCTTCCATAAACATAAAGTAATTCAAAACTCTGCCACTCATGGTTTAACACGGGCTTCCTGAAATACCATTGATAGACAAGCAACATTTTGAAGACCTGAGAAAAACTGGTCATGGGCAGGATACCAGCCGGTGTGATACATCTATAATATTTATCCAGACAAACCAACTACCCTCTTGAGGTAAACCAATTGCATCACTAATGTGCTGCAGCAGCAACTCCTGGTTAAGTTTCTTCCGGTCAGGTGCTGGCCACAGTTACACTGCTCTGCCTCTTTGTTTTCTCTCAAAACTATAGATGATCGTTGCCAACTTGTGTGTCCTGAGCTATCATAATGGTAAAAGATCCAAACTGAGTAAATTATTGAAGAAGGTAAATCTTACATATGTTTAATGTGATGTTTTGAAGTTTAATATTCAAAGGATGAATTTTTAAAAGCAAAATTTTTACACTTAGTTCAGAGTCAATTCTTCCCATTTGGCAATGCAGTCTAAACAAAGTTTGTACAATGAATTTAAAAAATCCACCACCGCATTGTCAACACCAGGGGGCACTGACAAACCAGTACAAGTTGAGCAAAACAATGATCAGACTTCATCAAAATGAATGCATACAAATGTGGCAGAATTGAACAAACTTCAGATTAATTTCAGTTCTGGGAATACTCTATATGTAGATAATGTGCCAGGCAGTCTACCAAAGTGCACACCTACCTTGTTCAATAAAAAATAGACAACTGCTCACATTATTTCCAACTGCAGCGTTAATGGGTAAACTCTTCAGCATCCAGAGTAACATACAGTTATTTGCTCAGTTTTACCCTCAGCTTATTTTGAGTGTTGCAGCACACTGCTCATTACTTGTACTTTCATACAAGGGGCAAACTGCAGATGAATTCTTCATTCACAATTCATTCTTAAAAATGTTAAACAAAGACTATGATATTTTTCTTCAAGGAATTTATATTAATCAAGTATGTAAATTGACTGGGGAGCCTCATTAGTTCTGAAAGTTAATAAGTACCAGCCATACAAGTACTATTTGATATCAAGATGCTTTCAATGTTTCGTGATTTCAGTTTTCTCCTTTAAAGAATTGGGTAAGTCGCTGGTAATGTGAATGTTAGAATAATTTAGACCAATTGATACAAAATACTTTGCACAGGCCAAACTGAAGCATTTAAACTCTCAAAAATGTAGACAGCATATTCCCAGATGATGTTTTAGATGGAGTTGAGATCTATGGTTTAAGCTATCAACTTGTATAATGTGACTAATATCCCTGTTTTTCTACTTGGTAGTGGAGTGGACAATGGGAGTAAGGATGCTTGAGTAATGGAGTGGAGGGGAAATGATGTAAAGGAAACTTCTGAGAGAGCTGCAGACCACATGTAATCCAGGATCCTTGCAGGAAAATAGAGCATTGCACTGCAGGCAGCTCATTTCCTTGACATATATCACCACTTCAGTACTTTTTTGCGATCCAAAAGCAGCGAAGATATGTACAGAGAAGCAGAAGAGAACAGTGGGTTATTTAAAAAGAATCTAGAGAAAAGAGAAGGACAGAGAGACGCAGAAGTTCTGAGAAAGCGAATACTGAGAAAATGAGATAAGTCCAAACTTATTTTGCAAACCCAGTAACATAATATGCACCATTCAACTGAGTAAATATAACTTTAATCCTATTAAGAGTGAATACCGTTCTTTCCTCTGTGATTTACATCATGAACAGATGATATTCACGGCCAATAGCAGATGTCTGGGTGCATACAATCAAAATTTTCAATTTACATCTATGTTGACTTTCTGCAAACTGTACATTTTGATTCAAGCAAGTGAGCACTTTAAAATTGTGTGGTAATTCAATGAGAAATTACTATTACTGCATTACAGATGGCAAAGACTTTCTTCAAGTTGAACGTATGCTGATTAGAAAATCACGTGAACAATTCAATTGCTAAAACTCATGGAATTACATTCCAGTGTGTTGCACAGATTAAAAACAACTGCAACATATACTTTCGCTTCGGAATTGAAAGCAAATTCCTTCTGTACTGTACACAATCCTCTCTCGTCAATGGCTATTTGCTCAAATTCCCCAATCAAGGATTCCTCCAGATTGGTATCACCCTGAAGGTCATCAGGAGTCATTTGGACCCATGCAGTCATGCAGAACCTAGAAAAGATCAATCTTGTCTTTCACAGTTACTACAAGACATATAAAATGCATAACTTGGCACACCAATCACTACATTCTTACCAGTGCAGTGGATGATCTTAATTATGTTTATTTCTCCAGCAGAGAGGACAAGGAAAATTGTGAAATGAACAACAGTATGTCAGTTCCCAATGACTCACGTAGTTAACTGAAAAGGTCTTGAGCGAGGGAGCAATTTTGTTTTTAATGTGTTGATTACCAAATCATTAAAGACTGAAAAAAGTCAACTAAATTCTACTAAAATGCTCCCTACTCACAAATTTCAATGTAATCACCACTTATATAATTTTATGGTTAACATCTGTGGGCCTGCAATGCTCTCATCCTTTTGCTTTGCACTTCTGTCAATTGGCTCACGTACTAATCTGGCCAGAAGC